CAGATCTCCCCATCTTCAAATATTCACTTTTGGCTTTTTTTTTTTTTCCCCCTCCAAGAGAAATGTTCCTTCTCCTCTACTTCATTTCCACATAGTGGGAATAGAAGGAAAAAAACAAAGAAGTGAGAAAAAGAAAAGGAATATTCCACCCCATTTACTTTTTTTATATATATATTTGTAAGGAATGTGGGAGAAGGGAAATAAGAGAAAGTAAAAGCACAAATGAAAGTGAAGAAACAGGAAGATCAGAGGAACAATGGCAATAATACAGTTTTTATATTTAACCCCTTTTCTAACACACAGGTACTCACATTCTCTTTCTGTTATTAAAAAAAAAAATCCCCGAAACTTAACCTACATGAAAGACTTTTTTTTTTTAACAGAACTGCAAGTCTAAAATTTTCAAAACTAGACTAAGTTCTCCAGATAACCTGTTCTGTAATGACTTCCATAGTATTTATTCAAGTTCTCTCCATATTTTACCTATGTAAATTAACAAAACAAATTGACATAAAGGAAAAACACATACCCCAGTTCTGTCGCCAAAAAAATTCTAGTGTCTTCTGCGTTGCAAAATGTTTTTTAACTGAGTAATGAACTCTTTGTATAAGCATATTGGAAAATCCTGTGCGTTTCAAAAGGTAGGCCATTGTTGGCGAATGCCCAAAAGGATCAATTGCCCAACCAGACTTTGGTTTTACTCCTGTTGACAAAAGAAAAAAAGTAAAATGGGAAGAAAGTTTTTCTTTTCCCTCAAAGAAAGCTATACCAACATAATTCAAATCAGAGCACTAAAGATAAAGTTTCCAAGAAGATAAACTAAAATATACAGCTGAGTATTAAGCCTCCTGCAGAACACACCCTGGAATTAACAAGCTAGAATTAAACAGATAAACAATAACAAAAAAAAAAGTAATGTCTTAGAGGCAAGGCATTCTAACTACATAAAAAACCTGAGATTAGTACTCTATGTTGTTACACTATTGCAACTGTGTCTCAAACATCTTTACATGGAATCATAATGAAATACATCTCCTTTTTCACTTTAAGTAGTTTACAGGTGTTACAATTGGAAAGGAAAGCTGAAAGAAAATGAACGGATGGAGGTGGATTGATGTTGTAGCTTGTTGAATTTTCACTGTAATTTAAATAATATTAACCTTTGATGGCTTTGGAACTAAATTTTCTTTTGATTTATTTGGTTGGCAATCATTAGAATCATGTTAATACTGTCTTTTCACTGAACTTCATACTAGCAAATAAAGAAGCTATATCTAACTCCTGTTTAACTGATTCTTCAACATGGTTCCTTAGGCACATTTTTACTATCTTAGCAAAAAAACCAATAGGGAATGCATTACGCTTTTATTAGGCCTTCCCTCCCCACATTTCTTAATTATGTCAAGCTGTGTTTATGGAAATTGCGATCTAAGAAAAACAGTGAAACAGCTTTTCAAAATAATTTCAGTTAATTGGATGAAGTAATGTTAACTTACTATTAAAATCACTGTACAATATTTTCTACATAAAAAGGGTTATCTCTACTTATGGAACATTATCTCTACTTCTAGAACTAAACAAAAAAACCCATCCCAAAGCCACCAAAACAGTTCAGCCTACAGTCAGTAATTCCTGAAAGTTTCAAAAGCGAATGAGTCGGCCTTTTTTTTCTAAATATGAACAATTCTAACACTACAAGGTGTTTAGGCTTTATAACTACTACTACTGCTACAACAACTACTACTGAATTTCATATTTACTTTTTTGAAAGCCTTACGTAAGAGAATATAATTAATATACAGCCTGCAGAAAAGATCCAAACACATGAAAGGAATTTCAATTTTTAAGTCATTTTAGGGCCTTTGTCATGATTTTCAAGAGACAGAAATGGCAACCAGAGGCTGTGATACCAGAGACATGATCTACAATTCAGCATGATCTAGTGTTATATTTTATTATGCTAATAAACTATGCACATCTTTCATTGATCAAGACAAAATGTTATGACTTAAAATTGGTTAAATACACTTCATCCAGGAACTCCTATCTGCAAACAGTAATTGCAAATACTAGACTCAATCCTATAGCTTCCAGTAAGCGGTCTGATTTAATGTTTCAGGAAAGCAGAGTAAAGAGAGCCTTCTAAGCACCTCAGAAATACAAAACAGCACTTTCTAATTGACTTCCGGTATTAACAGTTAAATTTTAGATCAAGCTACATACCAAGGCTCTTTTCTAGCCATTGATGTCCTTCTATCAGTTGGTCAACTAAAGCAAAATAATGAGGAGAGGCTTCATCAGGCATGACCCATCCTCCTGTTACTATTTCAAATTGTCCATCTTTTATTAACCTGAAAAATATGTAAATTGTGTTCAGAATCTTGCATATGAAAATACACTCTTAAAAATCAATTTCTGAATACCCAATAGGTATTTACCAGGGACACGATGACAAAATGGGATGGCTCCTGTGACTGGAGTGTTGGGATGGAGGGATACAGGCTCTTTAGGAAGGACAGGCAGGGGAGATGAGGAAGGGGTGTCACCCTCTATGTCAATGACCAGCTGGAGTGCATGGAGCTCTGCCTGGGGATGGATGAGGAGCCGACTGAGGGCTTGTGGGTCAGGATTAAAGGGAGGGCAGGGACAGGTGGGGGTCTGCTACAGGCCACCTGACCAGGAACACCAAGCGGATGAGGCCCTCTATAGACAGATAGGAGCAGCCTCACGCTCACAAGCCCTGGTCCTCATGGGGGACTTCAACCACCCCGACATCTGTTGGAGGGACAACACAGCAGGGCATAAGCAATCTGGGAGGTTCCTGGAATGCGTCG